AATATGACACAGCAGGACATGCATACAAAATACTGAAGTGCTAAAGTTTGGTTAAAACATTTGTAGACATATATTGCATGACAGCGCTACAAAAACACAACAAAGGCAAAGACTATTGCCTTATATACTGGTTGTCTTATTGTTTGTGGGCTTTGTGTAAAAAAACCTGGCTTTTAACACTTTCGCTAGGTATTTGAGTAAATGAAAACACAATACTTACATTTCAATGTGAATTCCCCCACAGAACTCTCACCCGCCCTGTTCTTCTTCTTCTTTTGATGTTTTATGGCGGTTGGCAAACCCCGCCCTGTTCTTTGAATATAAACACCATTGTCATATGCGCGCAAGTGATTCTGGGAAACGGAGGGCGCATTTGAAGTCGCTTTCGAATTATGGCAGCCTTCGTCGCGCTGCGGTGATGCAATCGGCCTTGGAATGCGGTCTTCGGAGGGTGCATCCTGAATTGGGACAGCTGACGTCGTGACGCTGTGACGCAATCGCACTTCAAATGCACACTTCGGAGTCCATGCACTTCAGTTTGGGACACACCTTATGTGTATGACGCTGCTCCCATTAAGTGCTGTTAGAAGTGAATGAATTGATTCAGCATTTCGACACCTCCGTAAGAATGCATTAAACTCGACAAAGGGGTTTAATAAAGGATGTATTGATCTCGTAAATTAACAAATTTTACTATACCAATATTTTTAAATTGGCTGTTAAAAGTTTATATGGGAATATGACACGCTGATCCTTTAACAATGCATTGGTGCAAAAACAAATCTCGCAACATGATTTATCAACTGCCACAAATACTGCTTAAACAAAATACTGATTTTGTGCACTTTATTTACTGTACCAATATTTTAAATTGGCCTTTGAACTTAGCTTTATTGCATGGCAAAAAAAAAGCGTTACCTTGCCAAAGCACTGACAGAGCCCACTGATCTAATGGCGTTGATGAGCGCTTCAAATGCAAACTTTGCATGCAATTGACAGCACTCTGATCTAGTGGCATACAGGCATTGTCAGATTGACAGTACTCTAGCCCAATGATGTTGGGGGATCCAGTGGGGGCGGCAGTCATATTTCAGGGGGACTGTGCCACTCTTTATCACAACCCTGCTAAAATGTAGTGCCAGTACGTGCCTTCAGCTGGTGGCGCCCTAGGCAACCGCCTAGCTCGCCTATGCCTAAAAAACGGTACTGATTATAGAATTGAGAGAGAAATATGCTTTGTGTTTTCCTGGTTGAGAGATTATTTTTAAAAATGCAAAAAAGATGCACATGCCACAAAACCAAATAGGGCTCAGGTGCAGGACAAAAAGGACAAACTGAAGCCTGTGCCTGACGAAGACCTGATGGTCGAAACGTTGCAGTAAAATTTAGTATGGAGCAGTTATATCAGTGTGCGGACATTACTTTTGTATTTTGCTTGAGAGATGATGTTACCTCATAGAAGTGATGTCAGTTGAATGTCCATTATTTTACAAGGGTTACAGGGCTGACATGAAATCAGGGGACACCAATAAAATGATTTAGAATTTATAGAAACGGTGTATACTTATGCCAAAGACATTGCTTACCAGTGAGACTGTATTTAGAACAATGGTTTTTATATGATTTTGCCCTCATTTTGACAATTAAAAGTCCTGCTGAAAAAGAAAAATCGTAGTGAGGGACAGGCCCGAAAACCTTCAGCATGAATGTTATTTAAAATAATATTTAATTGACTTTAATCTGATGTAAAATTGATGAAAGAATACATAGTATTGTTACATTTTTGCATTGCAGATTTATTTGTTGTTACATTAATTCTATGTTTGATTATTTCTTAGGGACGCAAAAAAAAAAGGCACTGGCTGGGAATGTTTTTTTTAATGTATATCTGGAAGTAACATTCTTAATTCTTAAATGCAGCCCCACCTTTATTAACATTTTATTAACCAATTCTACCTTGGAAACTGTTGCCATCTGCCATTTTGTCCAAGATTGTGAAAGGATTAAATCTGTATGTTTGGGTCATTTAAAATGCTTTAAACATAAATAATTGATAAAATATGAAAACAAAAATGACACAATGTAAGCAGAGATGTCTCAATGTAGTGCTCATCACTGAAATCAGCAGAATATCACCATCACTGAACTCTTTCTATAATACAACACACCCACCTTGTGGCCTGTTGCCTCGAGTAAACCTGCTTTGACACATCATGATTAATATCACATTATGTGGGCCAAGAGTACAGTCAGTCAGTACAGTTCAAGTAAAAAAAATTAAAAAAAATACTACTTTTATCACAGATGGAATTCGGAGGTATGCAAGTCTGATAAAGCAAGGCAAGTTTATTTATAAATAAAAATTACATTAAACTTAAATGTATGCATTTAGCAGACGCTTTTATCCAAAGCGACTTACAGTGCATTCAGGCTATACATTTTTTATCAGTATGATAAAATGATATAATATAATGATTGTATTCTGGGCTCATCTGCTTTCTTCATCACGTGTAAGCAGCACTATGTAACTTTTTCTGTGTTCACAATTTGCTAAATGTATATATAATGAGCGAGTACATCATGAATTCATCTTCCAAACTGCGTTTTTGTCTTATTCCGAATCACTACGGTACACTTATAATAAGTACTTATATTTGGACTATTGTAGCCTGGTCACCGCTGCGGAGTAACACATACCTGCGTGAATCGCCATAGACATACACTTAGAGAAGTAGCTCCGGTTGGAATGTTCTTCCGCGGGATGTGTGCAGTTCTGTTTATTAACCGCTAGAGCGCCAAAAGTTACATAGCGCTGCTTTAAACTTTGAAAATGACCTACATTAAGCCACATTTTAGATCGTCCCGCTGTTTTAGTGATTGAAAAAGACGGTGCTGCATGTCTCGATTCCGAAAGCTTGGCGTTTATTCACATATATTTGTTTTTCTTGTACTGAGAGGTGATATAACGATGGAGAACTGACAGGTGTGTGCTGCAGGTAAATGCGAAGCGTCAGTCACGTGACTGAACTATACAAACACACACGACACGGTCAGTCCAGCAGATTGTTCAAGAATTAATTAGTGTTAAAAAAATCTCTTAAATTAGTTCTTAAGGAAAACAAGGAGAATATTTTCGTGAATCCGGTCAAAATGCCGTTACTTCCTTGGTTACCGTCACTATGGTTACTGAAAACAAGCCTGACAGGACTGTCAACTGTGCGGTGCTGCGGTAGAAACGGTGAGTGTAACACACACACACACACACACACACACACACACACACACACACACACTCACTCACTCACGCTCACACTCACACTCACACACTGCTTTCTGTCGTGTTGTTTTGATCGCTCACTGCAGCGCTGTTCAGCTGAGAAAACACCGATCTCGAGCCAAAAATATTCTTATTTTCTTCTTTCTGTCGACGTATCGGCTAAACCATTCACAGTGAAAGTTGTGTCGGTATCAGTGAAAATAATGCCATTAAATGCATGCGAGTTGTTATTGTTAGAGGGCTAATATTGCGAAAGACTACGAGATTTGTGCTGTTTTGCAGAGGAAGACATGAACGAGTCATCCAGTTCGACAGACTCTGATTTCTACACACTCACTCACACTCACACTCACACTCACACACTGCTTTCTGTCGTGTTGTTTTGATCGCTCACTGCAGCGCTGTTCAGCTGAGAAAACACCGATCTCGAGCCAAAAATATTCTTATTTTCTTCTTTCTGTCGACGTATCGGCTAAACCATTCACAGTGAAAGTTGTGTCGGTATCAGTGAAAATAATGCCATTAAATGCATGCGAGTTGTTATTGTTAGAGGGCTAATATTGCGAAAGACTACGAGATTTGTGCTGTTTTGCAGAGGAAGACATGAACGAGTCATCCAGTTCGACAGACTCTGATTTCTACCTGCTCTTCATCAGATGCTCTTCCCAAACAGAGTAATTTGACTGTCAATATTTGAGATTCCTATTTATTGATTTGCTTGTTTGCTATTTAATGTAGTATCTGACCATCTTTTATCTCGCCTAAAACACCTTTTTCCCCCCAAAAACAGATTTTCAGGGTCACCCGACCTGTGTCAAGGGCTCAGCAAATGTTATTTAGAGGACCATGTGTTTCCTGTGCTGCTGCCTGGACTGGAGGCTTTGCTTGCAGAAGCACAGAAGCACCGCTGCATGGAGGTTATTTCCTATTATATCATGTATACTTCGAATACTGTTTAAACATTTGAATGGTGGTATGGCATAGTTTCTAAAAAAGTAAAAATTCTTAAGGTTCTATCATGTATTTTATATCACTTCCTTTTATATAGTGTATACCTATACTACCATTCAAATGTTTAAATGGTATTCGGTCATAGTTTCTACATAAATGTTAAGCAGCACAACTTTAAACATTGATAGTAATAATAAATGTTTCTTAAGCAGCATATTAGAATGATTTCTGAAGATCACGTGACACTGAAGACTGGAGAAATGATGCTGAAAATGTAGCTTTGATCACAGGAATAAATTACACGCTACTATATATTGCAATATAAAACAGTTATTTAAATTTGTAATACTATTTCACAATGTTACTGTTTATACTGTATTTTTTTTAGCACAAAAATGTAGCAGAAGATGTTGAGCTGAAGAGACTTTATTAAAAACATTTAAAAATCGTAACGTTTTCAACTTCTTTTCAACACTCCATGTTGCCCAACTACATAACCTATGCCACTGATCAGTAACATTTAATCTTATAATGTATTTTTCATTGTGTTTATTTCACATGTCCGATTGTCAATCTAGAGGAAAAAGACGGCGTTTAATGGCTGTGACTTCCTCACTGAATGGCTATACAAGTGAGTAAGAGAAACGTGACCCTGTGTGTTTTGCCAACACTTTATGGCTATTTCCTTGTGACTTTTATACAGTTAAATGTGTTTAAATACGTTCTTTATTTTTTGCTCTTGTCTATTAGTAAAAACCCTCGGACAGAGCGAACACCTACAAATTTTCATACAATTCCTTTCGTCCAGAATTGGCTTCTTGAACAGTAAGTAGATTGCCTAATAAACGTACTCTGGCTGTCTCTCTCAGTTTTCATTTCAGCTCTGAATGTGATTTATTTGCATGACAGACATGCTCTCTCTCTGTCAGTCCCAGGCCGCACATCCCAGCTTCTCTACTTCTAACAGATGAGCAAGCTGCAGTGTTGATCCAGGCTTTCTGGAGGGGATATAAGGTAGGGAGAGTACAAAAATTTGTCACTGAAAATGCCGCAGAGATGTTATTGGCTGTCAGGGTACCATGCTTTTTTTAGAGTCATAAAGGTTGAGAACCATTGCTTTTGTTGAACCACAAAATAAAATACAAACTCATGATATACACCCTCATAATCAAACACTGTACGCATGTGGCGCATGTGATGAGACAAAAGACATTTGAACCCATTATAATCAGCTTTGTCTCATTTCAAACCTGTGCCCTCCATAGGTCGCATTTGTCAGCCACTTACAATACAGAGGTTGTCTTATTTAAAGCTGCAGTCCGTAAGTTTTGCCTCTTTGTCGCCATCTCTGTTTGAAAACCTGGAATTGCAGCTGTGTGCGGAATTATCTTGCTTTCGTGGGTTGTGCGGCGGCTCGGCTCCAGCGCGGAGGAATCTAATGGTC